TCAATCTGGAGAAGCAAAGGCTGTATTCCAAGGCTCTTCCTTATGTCACTATTCCGGACCATGTCGAGACGCGTCAGGAAAGCTTCGCTTATTAAATACGTATTTTTCCTGACTTCTAACCGCCTCTTTATGTAATGACCTAAACGACTTTCTATCCCATGTATTACATACGATTATATTCGATAATAATATAACGGCAAGATTGCATGACTAATACGATCACCTTCTAGCCAGAGACACGCGCTAGTTCAAGCAGTGTTTACTCATTGAACATTTAATTGATTATGTTTGATATGATTAAATATTCTATGGACGTACACTGCTGGAAATTGCTTGCGTCTCTCACTACAAGCTCATCACAGAAGTCTTGCAGTCTTTCCTCTAAATCCAAAATATTTAATATGCATCAAGGACACCCATTACCACGACACTATCATTACAGAGCTCGTCATCTAAATAAGAAGAGGAAAGTTTGTCGCCGTTGACGTTCATGATCGAGCCATTTTGATGCTCTTTTTTTCATCAAGTTGATCATGCGGTGCTGATCTCTGTTACTTGCCATCAGCCAGGAGTGCGTTATGTTTTAAAGGCATGGTCTACAGCCATGTGGCAAGCGTAGCGTGTAGTCTGCTTCCCACAAGGTGGTACTCGTTTATGAATCTCCTCAAATGGAAGAATGGCGAGTGACCACGACAGTGGCTTGAACTCGTGGCCTACCCGGTTTTGAGTTTTGCGATGCTCTACCATCTGAGCAGCCCCGGTCTGGCGCAGTGTATGTGTATGTGTGCCTGTGGGAGGGGGTTAAATTTTTTGCTCAGGAGAATTTGTGAATAGAGCAAAGATTACACTCGAACGGAATCGGACCTCGCACCCTCTTAGACACTGTAATATCACATCATTATCCAAGAAAGGGACGAAATTTACGGTAACTTTGATCCTAGCCACAGGTAGCTCGCTATCTTGCTGTTGCCTTGCCCTGGATTCCGTTATGATTACGCTGTCTTTGAATTAGAACTAAGCTATTTAAATAGTCAGTTTTGATGACCGTTAGTCCTCTGAGGTTTAGGAAACAAACGCGTTACAGACTCTTTCTGCAG